CTTTACCAGACGACTCGTTTAGGGTAGTGGAACAGGAGGTGCCTTTACCAGACGACTCGTTTAGGGTGGTGGAACAGGAGGAGCCTTTACCAGGACCCAAAGTAACACATCCAGCCTCTTGCAGTACAGCCACGCTGTGGAGTTCAGAGAAATGCAAAAGGCTCCATTACCTTTGAGCAAAAATGTTTTTCTGCTGTTCAATGAGACGTCATTGAATGTTAAAGCTGAATGGGCTCAAGGCTTTAATATTTAATTGAGAGTTATATGTAATGTGATTTATTCAATAAATAAATAATAAATAGATCAGTTGCATTTTCTGCACTTCTTTGTTTCTGATAGAGGAGTTTGAGCATTTATCGTCATGGTAAAACTACCCAGTTCATCCTGATATCAATTTGAAGTCATATCGCCCAGCCCTGCTTTCCATCCTCCTCAGAGTCCATTAATTCAGAGCTGCAGCCGTGTCTGGATGAAATGCTCAGGTTGAACGCGAGATGAAGCTCTAACAGTGTCTGTGTTCATCTCCAGGCTGCCTTCCATCTTCATGCAGATCCTTTCAAGGAGCCTTCTACTGCTGCTACATCAGAGGCTGGAGAAACGGCTGGAGCCAAGAAGCTGGACTCGGCAGACGTGGCGAGCTCGAGCCCCCCCCAGCCCGAGTCCACTTCTCCCCCAAAGACGGCCTCCAGCGTTAGCCTGGCCGAGTCCTCTCACAGTGAGTGTCAGACACGTTTAGATGCCTTCAGACCTCAGCCATGAAGGTCTGAATGCTGTGTGGAGCATTTCCTGATCCAATATCGATATTAGTTTGATCTCAGGGAAAAACACTTAAATCGACTGATTGGGCTTCAGATATTTTCATGGTGATAGAAATTAGATACCGGTAGATATTTTCTTTATAGAAACACAATGCTTCCGTTTACTGTTGTTATAATCAGTGGGTCCGTCGTCAGAGGTGCCAACATCACCTTAATCAGGTTAGTTACTAGTTACCTCTCTGAAAAGTTACTGAGTTAGTAACTGCTCAGTAAAAGTAACTAGTAACTAGCCAGAGTAACTAGTTACTAGCTGAATCAACTAGTTAATAGCCAAACTAACTACTTACCAGACAAAGTAACTAGTTACTAGCCAAAGTAACCAGTAACTAGTCAGAGTAACTAGTTACTAGCCAAAACAACTAGTTAATAGCCAAACTAACTAGTTACCAAACAAAGTAACTATTACTAGCCAAAGTAACCAGTAACTAGCCAGAGTAACTAGTTACTAGCCAAAACAATTAGTTACTAGCCAAAACAACTGGTTAGTATCCAAAGCAACGAGTTATTAGCCAAATTAACTAGTTGGTAGCCAAGTTAACTATGTATTTACATTTTTCATGTTTTAGAATTTCAAAGAATTTTTAGAAAACGTTTCTTTTTTAATTTTAAATAAGAGTAGAGCATAATTTATGTAATAAAAGATGGTTGCTAACGTGTTAATTATAGGATGATTGTTAATTAATAAGTTAATTAATCATTTGAAAAGTATAGACATCTGAAAACATTAAAAACTAATCTGCACTGTTTGGTGTTTAATAAGTGAGCTGTAATATAATTACTTAGATGTGAGGATGCTTCTTGTTTATTATACAAGAAAAATTAGGTGCTATAGAATAAAATTGTCACATTTCCATGAAATAAAAAATAGTTTTTAACTATTATTGCTATTATTGTGGAAACTTGTTTAAACCCTACCAACGGGTCGACATCATCGGTTTTGCCTCCTAATTTGCTCGAACTGGGATTTTGCTGAGAATCCTTAGAAATACTGGGCGACTCGTCTGTAGAAAAAAGGTAACGCGTTACCATAGTAACTGTTAATACTGTCAGTTGTTTATTAAAATCACCCGATCAACCATTATTTTAACATACCACTAAACAAGTAATAAATTACGATCAGTGTTGGTCTGGTATCGGGTCATTATCGGTACAGTCGGAAATGAAATGTACGGCGTCATCCCTGAGCAGAACCACGGCCTTCCTTCTGGTGTCCAGCCGCTGGTTCTGCTCTCCTCACCTGCTGACAGACGTTCAGAGCGTCAGTGGATCCCACCTGATGGTCCATCTCTAGCTGATAAAAAGTGTGGCATCACAGAAGAGCAACATTTTCCCACATTTCCCAGTAACAAATCCTCCCAATTACACATCCCAGTCCAAACTTTTTTGTACGGGCCATGGTTCCAGATCCATGGCGGGTTTAGTGAAGAACCTCTCCAGAGGATGATCCGTTTGCTCTTGGTACGGTCAGCGGTTTGGAGCGATCAAACTGGGAGGAGGGGGGCTTTCTGACCCCCTGGGTGCTTCTTCTGTTTTTCATCTCGATGACATTTTCTACTTTGATCATAGTGAGCCGATAACATGTTTCCCCAGGCTGCAGCAGAACCAGGCCCAGTCGTGTCCAGAGCGTCGTGTCCAGCCAGGGAAGTCTGGACTCAGACATGCAGGGTAAGTGCAGTTTGTTTATTTCAGCTGTTATGGAGCACAGGGGATGCATGTCAGACTTCGCTGTTAGCTTTAGCTCCAAACATGATCATTTAGCGCAGAAAACCTCCACTGCATGAACGTCGCCGTTGTTTTTGATGAAGGCTACGATGGCGGCAGCAGCGACTCAGAGTGTGAGAGTCCAACCTCTGACGAGCAGGAGGCCCGCTCCCCTTCAATGCCAGACTTCTGGCTCATCGTCAGGATCCATCTGGACCGAGTGAAGGTCTATTCCCATGCCAGGTCAGAACACATCCTCCTCTGAAGATGCTGGTTTCCATTTGACTCGGTTATATTCTATAGAGATTGAGATGAACCGCGTGTATGGAGTCAAAATGTTTGTAAACTTCTTACTTAGTTGAAACTGGAAAAAAAAAGTTGAAACTGAAAAAATAGAAGTTGATATTTAATGTGAAATTTCTACCTTATAATGTGAGAAACTAAAAAAAGCAAACATAAGATAGTAAGAATTTAATCTAAACTCATTTTGACCCCTTTCTGACTCCATATGCGTGTTTGTCTGGATTACTTTGGTGCAGGTCGATGAGCGAAGGCAAACAGCTGTGTGCTGAGGAGCTAGGCGGGAAAGAGGAGGAGCAGGAGCTGCCGGAGTTCCTGGAGCTGCATCAGACCATGGTCAGGAGGATCGGCGAAGTGTGCCGCGTCGTCAACCAGGTGGCCATTTTGGTGCATGCTTCCTGGACGCTGCTTGAATGTTGAAGTTCATGACATGCCTTCAGTAACACAGAATTCTGCCTTTCTGGTTGTTGATGTGTTTTAGCGCATGCTGCTCCAAGACCTGCATGACAGCCATATCTGTCACACGCTGCTGGTGGCTGAGAGCGAGGAGGACATCTGGAAGAATGACTCCCTCTTCAGGCAGAGGCAGAACACCTCTGATGGTGAGGTGGGGATGGGGCGGTTCCTGTGATCCTTTCCTTCTTGAAGCTGTAATATCTCCCTCTGTCTCTGTCCTCCGAACCCTCAGACTATGGTACAGAGGAGAGCTACCAGGCCAGAGACTACCTGGCTGCCACCATGCACTTCATCCCTGGACACTTTGCCTGTGACGTGGTGTGGAGCACAGTCATCCACATCCATCCACGACTGAAGATGGGACCCAACATGGGGGTGTCCAGAGGTAAGCAGTAGATCCCAGAGTCCTAGTTCTCATTATGTGACCTTAATGATGTTCGAGGTCAGCATTCAGTAAAAGTTAGAGACGCCAATTAAAAGCAGCAGCGTCCTTGGAGCTAGAGAGAAATGTTCTCTCAAAGGCGTCTCAGTAGGCAAAGAACCTGTTTACACCCGGAAACCATCGCTTTTAAAGGCAGAGGGAACGGCTCACTGTACCGTGTCATCACGCTTCATACAACTTGGAGAGCAACCCGGGTCAAACAACTCATTAGGCAACCCAGGTTAAACGACCAGGTTAAAGCGGCCCGGGCCAAACGACTCATCAAGCGACCCGGTTCAGACGACTCTGCAAGTTACCTAGGTCAAACGACTCGGCAAGTGAGCCGGGTGAAACGATAAGGCAAGTGACCAGGGTTAAACAACTCGGAGAGCGACTAGGGTTGAATAACTTGGAGAGCGACCAGGGTTAAACAATTCGGGTAGCGACCTGGGTTAAACAACTCGGAGAGATACCCGGGTCAAATGACTCATTAAGCGACCTGGGGTTAAACGACATTGGAAGTTACCTGTTTGAAACGACTTGGACAGCGACCCGGGTTAAAATCGCCCCAGTTCCGATCGGTATGCTATGGGAACAACAGACAAAGTTCTACCTGCGAATTTACGTGATACCATCTAGCACAACGTGTATACGTCACAACATCGCAGCAGGTGCGTCTGATCTAATGACTCTGCTAGCATGCTAAACATTTCCGTTGGACTGGTGCACTGGTCATCGATGCTAATGATGTCACTGAGAGGCTGCAACAGTGGGACAGAGGCCAGGTTGACCGACCGACCCCAGGCTGTGAGAGTTGGCCCCCACCTCTCCTCCACCCGCACGCTGAGCATCGGCTCCCCACAGGGCTGTGT